AGAATCGATAGTATAATTAACGTACCCGGAACCACCCGAGACACAGGTTAACACATGCAGCATATCAAGGTGTCGTTCTGAGCGCACACCCATATTTTTGATGCCATTTTAGACATAGTGGCTATGACGGCAAATGCCGCGGGTGTCATTGAATGTGTTAAATGGCCATCCATCATAAAAATTGAAAACAATGTAAAGTCCGTCGATTTTAATCTGATACTCCAAAGGAATGTGAGCTGGTGGCTCCCTACATTAAAACGCCAATAGCCACCCCCTCGCTCCTCATACTGTAAGCTGTAGGTATGTAAAGGTTTATTTAGTCAATGTACTATTTAAAAACATTCTGATATACCTAAATAATTCCAACAGAAATTATATAATTTTAAAAATTTTCCGTTCCCTTTTTTAAAAAAAATTTAAATTCACAGTATCATCATCAAACAGTCTCTTTTCCCGTCAATTGTGGAACATAGGCCTCCCCTAAAATTTTCCAGTTGTCTCTATTCTGAGCAGTTGCGTTCCAATTTGATGAGGTCTTTTTCAGGTGGTCTGTCGAGTGAGAGAAGAGATCTTCTTCGGTTTCGTTTGTCGACTCTTGGTCTCCACTCAACGAGTTTCTTCGTCCATCTCCCGTCCTTAGATCTTGCAACGTGGCCTCCCCATTTCCACTTTTGTTTTGCGATATGTTCTACAATATCGTTCACCCCAGTTCTTATGCTGATCTCATTATTTCGTAATCGGTCTTTTACTGAATTCAAGCATGGATCTTTCCATTGGTCTCTGTGTTACTCAACTTTTCTGCCGATGCTTTGGTGGGAGTCAATGTTTCCGCACCATAGGTCAGGACTGGGAGGAAACGCTGGTTGAATGCTTTTCGTTTCAGGGATATTGGAATATCAACCCTAAACACTTCCCTCATTTTCCCGGATGCTGCACATCCTAAAGTTATTCTTCTCGTCAATACGCATGTTTGGTTATCTCTGTGCATTCTCATCTCATGACCCCAGGTATACGTACTTGTCTACTATTTCTATGTTATTATTGCTTATTTGTATTTGCTCATTGGAAACCCGATTAGTCATCATTTTGGTTTTGGAGAAGTTCAAGTATCACATACATGTCCCTGCGACTACGTATTAATTAAATACAACGTCGCCAGAAGTGCAGAAACAGTGCAGATAAGTGACCGTCAATGATTTTTCGTTAAAATTACGTCGCGCCGTCGTCCTTTATATGTGGTCAAGAAATCGGACCTTTATCTAGCTCGATTTTGACGTAATAAATGAAAGCCAGTTTCAACGTTAACTTCATGACGTCAATCCGTCGTCTTCTTGTATACTTGTGACCTCTAAAACGTTTTTCAAACGTCATCTAATACGAAAAATCGTAAATTGGACGTCATAATATTGTACCAAATTGAACGTTGCATTGAAGACGTCAATCCGCCGTTATCTTTAGACCTGTGACATCCGAAACATTTTAAAAACATCGTCTGACACGACCAATCATAAGGTCAGATAGAGGTCTTAGAGAAACATCCGGCTAACGTTAAAATTGGACACAGGTAAAATTTGGTGTAATATTTCATACTTTTTGCGTCATTCGTTAATAAACTGTCATCAGTCAAATGAAAAGTTTTTAACATTTTGAATAAGTATTTGCTTTTGTATTTTTGATATAGGACAAAACGGGAGCTTTAAATACTCATATTGTCACGCTTATGTTGGTTGTGGTCAGCGGTGCCACCACGTTTACTTCGCTTGGCTGCGTCCACTAAGGGTTTATCTGAAAAGATAGGATATGGGGGGCAGGAATACCACCACGAATATTATATTTGTTTTATTACTAAACCTTAATTACACCTTATAGTTCAAGAAGATCTACCAAAATCCTAACACCGCAGATGTTCGTCCCTGGTGGACCATGTTTTCGATTGTCAACTCGAAATGTAAGAATGTTTAATGTTTAATGAAACCCAAGATGCACTAAAAGAACGGGCCCCCTAAGGGCATAGTTCTCGTAGGTCTAAACTTGGGGACGCTGTGACACGGCCGCTATAGACGAGACCTTCATCCAAAAGTTTCACAGTCTCGACTATACCTAGTCGTACCCAGCTAAGAAGGCAGGTCTTTAGGCTCGTACCTTATCAGGCATAATGCAGTCCAGACCAACTTTGCCTTGCATTGCCGCAGTGCGTGAATTTATATTGAAATTATTGCTGGCATAAGCAAAATCGGTCTGTTTTTAATAGTCCGGGGTGACCTCCTTTGGAAATTTACTTAATTTATGTAATGCGTGGGCTTGTGTACGTTTATGAGTTGGCAATATTAGAGAAGGAAAAAAAGATTTTTAGCTTAAGTGATAAGGGAGAAATGTATTCGAGGCATGAAGGAAATGGAGCAAGAAGGAAAATTCGAAGAGAACCCTGTAATTTCTAATCAGGAAATTAAAAAAGATTCAATAAATGTCGGGTTAAAAGGAAATATTTCAAGATTTTAAACAACATCAAAACTAAAACATGTCCTACAGTTTCCTGGAAAATTTCAAATAAATGAGAGCGTTGAAGCACCTAAAGAACTGGTTACGATAGGTAACCATATGGGACCTATAGTCAATCTAGGTTTATGTTCATACTATTTAATTACCTATGGTCCTATGTTTGTATAGAGTAAGTCCATTTTCATGACGGAATTAGGTTAGGATAAGGTGCAGATTATTAACTCGACCATTTTATATATCGCAAGATCCTATTTAATTGTCCGCCATTGCTGCACGTTTAATAAAAATAAAATATTATCTGAAAAATCAATCCTTGATAAGGAAATATTGTCAAAATTATTTATTCTTGTGTAAATCGTAATTGCCCAAAGATATTTTTCACCCATCGGAACTATATAAGAAATTATGTAAATTACAATTTTTTTTTGGAAAATTTTAAAAAAATAGGAGCCCGTTTGTTTTGTGTGCATATCATATTTATATTTGACAGAAGAGTTGACTTCGTTTGAAATTTTTGTGCCTACAGGAGCTAAATATTTAGTTCCACGTATTTTATTGTTGACGAGGCCAGGCGCCATTATTATTTTATGTCCCTTAATATTCTCACAAGTACTGTTCATTTTGTTTTTAATACGATAAGTTGGGAAATAAAATAATACCAATAATAAACCAAAAGTGCGAATTTGGTGCAATATATTAAACCTGGAACGTCCTTTATTTGGTTTTGTATCTGTTTTTAGGTTAGTCATGGTTTACGACGTTTAGTAAACGTTCAAATCTGCTTGTGTATAAAGCTAAAAATTGGTAAAGCCTCGCGACCTGCGACGTCGTTACAACCATGAAATGGTCCTCCATTTTGGTGAAAATAAGGGTTATATAGTCGTCTATTTGACGTCGCGCCTTAACGTCACGACATCAATAACGACGTTGTTAGGACGTAAAAGCGCTGCTTGGGGATCTTTGGGTTTACTTCTTGCGTGATATTTTGAAGCTCCTGAGGCATTTCTTTAGCTTCACCCAGATTGTCTGATATTAGGATAATATCATCTGCAAAGCAAAGATTATTAAGACTTTCCCCATAGATAATTATTCCTTTTCGCTCCCAAGCCAATTTCTTGAAAGCATATTCGAGGACTCTAATGAACAGCTTGGGTAACATATTGTAACCCTGTCGGATTCTTCTTTTGATTTTAATTTTTCTGGTGATGGAGTGAAAATTTACGTTGGTCGTTGCGTTTCCGTATATGTTTTTAATAATTTCACAATATGGGTGTCGGTGATCAACTGTACTCTCTTGTAGTGATCTCAAGATTGCAGGAAGTTCCACGGTGTCAAATACCTTTCGGAAATCTACAAACACTAATACCTACCAAAAGACGGTTGTATTCAATATTCTTTTCTATGAGGGTTTTGAGACACTGAAGGTGATCGTTGGTACCAAACTTAGATCGTCAACCAGCCTGTTTCCGGGACTGATAAAAGTTTAGTCGATTCACTATTATGCGAGTATTCACAGCATACCGCGAGGGTGTTCTGCGACGTGTCGGCTATGATCCTCGAGGTGGTGCTTTATGCATTGATAGTTCCTTCTGATTGCTATGCTAACATTTTGTCAGTTGTCATTATAGATTTGTCGTCCTGCAGAAGATTTAAAACACTTGAAAAGTCTCAAAGGGTTTTCCATCTACTTTGTCAAATTTTTACTTCCATATATTGTTCATTGACAAAGTTCTCATAAACTCATACTTAATATTAAATGACTAAATATGGCAAACCCAATAAAACCAATTAGTCGTAAAAAAAAGAGAGACAAAGTGGATAATCTTGACCCTATTTACCAATGAGGAGAACTATAATTGGGATGATGATGTACTGTTTCAATTCCATAATTCATTATTATCGTAGCGCACTTATACCATGGTATACACACACACACACTCTGTTCATGATTAAAACATTTCAAGTAAAAGGTTATTATATGCCATGTATTGTAATAATTGATAGTTTGTTAGATCGATAAAATCAATTAGTTATTGATGCGTGACTTTGAGATATCAATCTACGAGTGGTGAGTTTCAGATATAAAAAAGCCAATAGGAAAAGTTCAATAACTTCTAATAATATGAAAGGAAGGGTGCTCGATGTATGCTAAAATCCAATACCTACAATAGGTGTTAATTAACTGGTCCTATTTTTACACCTCAAAAGATATTATCGAACAAAATGTCTGTCATTAAGCACTTTATTAGCAAACAGTTCTAACGTATCACCTTTTTTTATTAGGTCGGTACCTATGCCTGAAATTGAGGTTAAACTTATATCGATAAACAATTTTATTCACAATAATTATTTGAAAGTGTATGAATGATTCATCTTTGTTGGTAATTTTTTTTTTTTTTGGTTTGGGGTGGGAGGATAAGTTACTAAGAATGAGTTTGTACCTAAACTGCAAACTATGCAAACCATTTTTCACTGCAACATCTTTTATACGGAAATATTCTTTAACCTTTAACAAGGACCTTTGCGATTAATTTAACTTGATTTCTTTGAGTTGATCTGGTAGTCCTTCCAGCAGTATCGACCCTGATAACCATCAATTATAATAATAATGTAAATTAATCTTGTGGTTGTATTATACCTATCATTGTTTCCGTATGTTTATCTTCCATCTTTACTTGCAACAGTTGCAACACAAGCTTTGTATATTGTTTTTCTCAGACGAAAAATTAATATTTATCCTCTTAATAGTGAAAATGTTAATTTGTGCTTTAACCGGAAAAAAATTGCTTTCGCCTAAACCGCAATAAAATATTTCACGCAAATTAAACACATAAACAAGAGAAAATCACCGATAACAATAAAACACGTTCATTGCAGTTATTAAATGCAAGTTGTTGCATTGAGAAACAATAATATAAGTAGGCGGTGGTTATTATTGATTAGCAGGTTGCTAAACTAACATCCAAGTGTACAAAAATCAAAGGTGATTGTATAGGCGGTTCTAATAATAATATAAAACAATTTACTTTATTCAGTTTTGATTCTTTGCACAACAATAGGTTGAACGAATTTTCTGAAAATGAAAGTATTCAAAACATTCTGCTGCATCGTCTACTAGTTTCTTGTATAATGTTATAAATTCCCCTTCTGTACCTCTCTTTTTCCATGCATGATGAACCCAGTGTCTTCTACTTGTTCTTCCATTTCTTAGTCCAAACCCAGTGCAAACTGCAAAAGTTCTTCATCTGAACTGAAAATATTTCGTGATATTTCCATTTGGCTATAAATTATACTGACACGGCACTGACGATAATCTAAGGATGATACACTAGACCAATATGAATAGAAACCACTGTGAGTTTACGGCCGGTGAAATCACGTGCCGGTTACGTCACTGCTATGTGTGAATCAATCTTTAGACGTTAGGTTAGACATTATTATGATTATTCAACAGTCTGTCAATATTCACGTCATATTCATGTGTCGTTAACAGACAAGCTTTTCCTCAAAATTAGTGTTTTTATTGAGTCCAGCGAACATAAAATGAAAGAAACCTTACAATCCACTGCAGAAAATAAAACCGCCAGGCGACTAGAAAATGTGAATTTCGATTTTCACTAGTGGCGTCAATGACATTTGAAGAAAAAAATCGATTTTTACGGCAAATTTTGAGACTTTTTCGAGAGTTCGTTTTGAAAAACATTTACGTGAAACTGTAGAGACGTGAGAACAGTGAAGTCGTGAAGTTATTTGTGAAGTTGAGACGAAAAGTAAACTTAAAGTGACGTAAAGTGAGTTACGAAGAAAGAGACGATTTTCATGATTCCAGAGACGGTTTCAGTGGTGGTACTCCAACAGCAACACGCAGGAGCTCAGGTACTAGAAACGCAGATGATACACAGGTAGAAATTGTTGATTTAAATGAGCTTTTTCTGAACATAATGATAGAAAATAAACGTAGAGATGAAATGATCGAAAGATTGGCAATTCAGATGATTACAAACAGTGGGGCAGCACCTGCACAGCTAGCTGATCACCCCATAGCCTCCGAACGCGCACTCACAACATTGAGAATTTCGAACACCTTCGAAGGCAGTTTTGTGGTTGGATACATACATACATTAAGTAGTGCGCAAACTTTACTCCAAATTCCAGACAGCTACCTGCTGGAAACATCAAGAACGAGGTCAGTAGAAAGAGCTAAATATTGGTATTTGAGTAAGCGTAATGAGATTTTGACATTATGGAAAGATTTTGTAGACAAGCTCAATACTACATTTTCGTTTGCCTAAAGAAAGCTTGGCAGCGAAATTCAAGAAAATGGAGAGCAGATTTCAGGGCAAAAATGAAAGTTTAAATTCATATTTTCATGAGAAAGTAAAGTTATGCACGGATTTAGACCTAGAAATAGATAAAATCCATGAGCAAGTGCTTATTGGGTTACATTCTCGATCAATGTGCAAAGCAATGTGGGCAAAAAGGCATTACAGCACGGATACATTATTTCAAAACTGGCACAGCTACGCAGGCATTGAAAGTAGGCGTCAGCAGCGTTTAACTGGCATGCATAGAGGTAACTTCGATAGAACTAACTTGAACAAGGAAAACATGAATAATGCTCAGAAAACAAGTGAGAAGCAGAACCAGGCACTACAGACATTGTGTAATGTGGCAGGTAAGACACCACGAGAAGCTGGTGATATCAGAGTAGAGGGTCAACAGCACTCTTCAAGATACTTACCACCTAGAAATGTTGAAGACAAGCCCCTTTGTTTCAAATGCAGGAAATATGGGCACATCTCGAAATATTACTCCCAGAATCAACCCTCCCCCCCCCCTTAAGCACCTCAGACGAACCAGCGAACCTCAGCAATAGCGGTAAACACACAAAATAGTGGTATAAAAGTATTTGCAGGAAGCAACTGTCAAAAAATCTTATGTGGACTTAGGTAGTCAATGCAACGTGCTGAGATTATCAGATGCTGAAAACATAAAATCGAAGTATGACAAATTGACAAGTCACATGTGGATCAAAGGTTCTGGAGAAAGAAAAATCAAGCCTATGCTTTGGGCATAGCTAAAAATATTGACATGGGTTTAGACCAGGCGCATGCTAGAACTGACATTTATATATTATCAGATGATGTTTTAGATATGGCATTTTTGATTGGACAACCTTTCACCGAACAAGAACATATTGTGATAATACGGAGAGGCACTAAACTGATAATCTTTGAAGAAAAGAATGCAATGAAGGTAAACTGGATGACTGTTTGAAGGATCTGAAGATACCAGAGTTGCCCAAGCCTAAAGTGAACTTATTAGCTAAAAACTCATGCGTAATACCATCAAACTATCTTGGTTATATTACAGTCTATGCAGAAAATAACAAAAATCAAGACTTTAGGGGTAATTTACATCCACTTAACCTAACTTAACGTACGGAAAATTAATAATAAAGACAAGTTGAAGATCCTGTAATGTACATACATAGTTGTTTACATCCTCTTAGAAATTAAGAACATTAACGTGACACAAGGAAAAGTTGGGCTAACTTCAACTTAAGGAAATCCGTGCGTTAATTTTTGTTTCTGTGCATATAATTTGATTTGACACTCGAGGCGCATGTGTGACGTAATAGTTAATTACATTACAAGAACGTTTATAAACATGATTACAATAACGAGTGTGAAAGATTAGAACGACGAGGTCGTAGACCGAGTCGTTCTAATCACACGAGTTTTGTAGTCATGTTCAAACGTACGTGTGATGTGCAACGTTTTATCTACAAAGCGAAAAATAAGCAAATTTTTCCAAATATTTTCGTTTATCAGTAATTGTCTACCTTCATTTTCCCTTTAGTGACAAATGATGGACCGATTGATAAGTGTCACGTTTTTACGTAACAGGTACTTTCCATTCTCTAGAGCATGGAAAGTACCTTCTAGGTAATAACCTGACACTTATCAGTCGGTCCATAAATTAGCCCTTACAGGTTTAACTTTGACATTTGTCAAATCACCAAAAATAGTTGTGTTATAGATTCATAACCTAGTCCCCGATTATGAATATCACAAGCAGAGAAATAAAACTAGATGAACATGGAAAACTAATCAGAGCAGAGATATGTCAAGAAAAAGTAAAGTGTGTTGAAGTGAAGATAAATGAAATGAACGAAGATAATGGTCGGAAGATTACAATGAATATGATCAATGCAAACTCGGATGTGACCTTGAAGAATCAAAATGACCTTAGTAGTAATCAATACATTGGGTGCATTCAGGCGGTGCCAGCGGCTAAGTTTAGCCACGCAGCAGGAACTTTATTCTTGAAACCGAGGCACGGCGTTCTCATGATAACGATTGCTCTGTCATTGTCAGTATTATGGAAATATGAATACGGACGACGAAGACAGAACCTTGGTCCTCATGAGAACGCTGCTCCCCTGTTTCTAGAATAACGTCCCTGCTGAGTGGCTGAACTTAGCCGCTGGCACCGCCTGAATGTACTCATTGACTGTTTGGCGTTTAATTTCTGAGAATAGGATGTTTTAATGAAGTTCCGTTTAAAATAAAGACATTACAGAAGACTTTACTTTTCGAACTTATAGACTGAGTTTTAGTGAGACACAGAAAGTTCGCGAGATGGTAGAGGAACTTAAGAGCGCAGGTATCGTTATTAACTCGAATTCGGACTACGCTAGTCCTATTTTAGTGGTACGTAAAAAGACGGGTGATGAAAAACTCTGTATCGACTATCGCGGTTTAAATAAAGTCACTAAAAAAAATAAACCACCCGGTTCCACTTATCGATTACCTACCAACTAGATCGTTTATTTGGTATGAAATATTTTACATTGGACTTGCGAAGTGGCTACTACCAAATTCCGGTTGAAAAAGACTCACAGCGTAAAATCAGGTAAAACCGCGTTTGTGACGCCAGACGGTATATTTGAATTCACGCGCATGCCCTTTGGGTTTGTTAATGGACCCGCAGTCTTTCAAAAATTAATAAATCGTGTACTCAGACCTTTGCGTTATACCATAGCGATGGCATATATGAATGACCTACTTTTACCGGCAATATTGATTGATCAAGGACTTGAAAATTTAGAGGAAATAATCAAAGTTTTGAGGCGTGCGAACTTAAAGTTAAATTTAACGAATTGTTTTTTCCTTTTCGAAACTATAGATTACGTTTTGAAGTATCGTCAAATAAGATTAAACCGGGTGGAAGAAAATTAAAGTGTGTTTTAGACTTTCCTGAACCTAAAAGTGTGACTAATGTCAGACAATTCTTGGGACTTTCCTTATATTTCCGTCGATTTATCTGTAATTACGCAATAAAGGCCGAACCCTTAACACATTTACTTTCTAAAGATGTAGAATTCAAATGGGACGCAGAGCAGCAGCAGGCATTTGACCAGTTGAAGAAAGAGCTAACTGAGACTGATGTTTTGGCATTATATAAGCCCGGAGCGTACACAGAGGTACACACAGATGCCAGCTTAATTGGATTTGGCGGTATGATTCTTCAGAGTCAGGCAGATGATCTGATGCACCCTGTAGTATATGTGAGTAGAC